TTAGTTTGCCCCCGCAGTCCTGCAAGCTTTCTTCTGTAATCGCATGTTCATTGACAGAGGAGACAGTCTCCGACTTGCGTTTGTTCTTTTTCTTTTTACGCATTTTCTTGAGTGGACTATTATCACTGGTTGCCGTGGTACGTTCGGCTGGTAACTCACCGACGTCAAATTTTTCCTTTGCTTTGGATTCCTTTCTTTTCCCACGCTTTGCTGGTGAAAAATCTGTTGTGTCAATGTCAAACTTATCACTCCCCGTGCCACTGCACGATTGACGCGTTTTCTTCAGTTTCCTTCTTGTCTATCTGTATAATACGGCATATTAACATACGTGTTGGAAAGTAGGCATACTGCGAGTCTAGGCTTTATCTCACTTTCTTCGGCCATATTTATACTGAATGACCAGATGTCCACAAGACTGCATCTCCCCACAATTTGAATATTTATTGTTATGTAAATAAATGTTATTTTTTCGAACACGGATTGGTTACAATTTGCATACACATAGAATTGCATATGCTAGCTCAGACGGTGAAATCACGTGGACTTGAATATTTCCCACCAGCTGTCCCGGTCATTTTACGTTGGTGATTGCCGACATTCCAAGCTCAGCCGTTAGAATCCGTCATGCTATTCATTCTAAGTGCCAGGACTATTTGCCAAGCTGGTCAAAATATGTTACTATCGTTATAATCATGAATCGTGTCGTTCAAATACGATTGTAATGCTGCAGTTTGCAATGTGGTCAAGGCATTTTTTTTTTTACGTCGTCGCAAACGTCGCATTGTCACGGTAAAATAGTGAAATGAGCAGACAAGTGTATAGAATTACATTCTTTATTACTTGGTTAATATATTTGACTTGACGGAATCAAAACAAATTCTCTCCCTCCATAATTTCACAAGTGTAAAATATCAGGTTCCATACAACGTATTATAAACGCTTGACTGTCTGAGCAACCTAAATAGAAGGCCGTTTTTCAATGACTTGACCGGAAAAGGGTTAAAGTTAAGATGGGTATTTACAGCATAACTTAAACTGCTTTCACTGATGTACCCCACTATTCAATTGTTTTTATTTGACTTACCCTGGAATAATACCAGACGGACCAATCGACGTACTAAACATTAAATTAAACTCAATGGGGTCACTGACATCATTACCACTCACAGGAGATTTCACATTGTACATCTTCAATTTCTGTCCTAATGTTTCTTGATCAAAGTTGTCCACCTCTCTGGCAACCTGTTCATACTCCTTTCTTTTCTCAGGTGTACATTTCTTATCCATTGACAACTTCTCCATATGTGCTGCAAAGAGATCACATTAAAATGAGATAAACTACAAGATAGTAGTTTGAGTGCAAATACAATGCAGTGAACATGGTTCTACATCGGTAAAACACATGTTAATTATAAAAAGACACAGCACTGAAATTTGTGGCACTTTCTGACATTAAAACAGTGATGTAATGTAATCGTTGTGTTTATTTAAATGCAATATGTCCTAGATCTACAGTAAGTACGTCATATTTAATAATCATATCTAGCAATACAAATATACAATACAGTATATTATTTCTATGACTTGCCTTCTAGTAGATGATCAGCTCTGAAGCATTCTCCAGTTTTCAAGTCTTTTACCATAAAATCAGAAAACCTTTCCACATGACCTGAAGCCCTGCAATTATATTTTGATAATAATTTGAAGTCAGTTATGATACATCATCTTGGCTTGCTCACTTTAGTTCATTATTAAATCTACATTAAGGTACATGTAGAAGCATACTAATAATTGTTGAAAAAATAGGTCATAAATTGGCGCATGACAATGTTCATTAATTTATTATGTAAAATCATAGAGCTATGGTCTTATAGCATTCTTTTGTGTCTTAAAGTAACGTATATTGAGAAACTTGCTATAATTTTTTCAGCCTATGTCACCAATCTACAATTTGAGATATGGCATATCTTTGTCATTGCCATCTATAAAAGTTTCATAATACTGACAAAACGGCCACTATCCACTAAAATGCAATCAACATTTTTTTCAATGATTAGGCTGGTCAATATCATTATATTAAACCGGGAGTATAATTTATTAGAAAATGAATGAATTCTGGGTATTTGCATTTATGAGTAGGTTTCTACCAATCAGTGAGAGTAACTAGGTACAGATTTGGAGCAAAGCATCATAAATTTGTAAGATATGTTACTGCTGCACTTACTGAGTGAGAGATGGATGGATACGTGTGAGCATACAATGGCAGTGATGACAATAAAATGACACATTCAACACTATAAAGGATGGCAAGGGGGAGGAGTTCACTTACTTCAGTACGGCTTCAGGAGTCAGCATTGAACAATCAACTTCCAACATACTTTCTTCAATTATGAAATGATTTCTCCATAGATTCAATATATTAGTTTTCATGGCACATCCCACTGGACCAAAATCAAACAAACCAGTAACACCTACAACACATGCAAGATACACGTTGTTATAAAAATAATGAATATTGACAGGTTAAAGAAATGGAAGGCGTAAATAAAAACTCCCAAAACGTAACACACATCAGACATCAGAGAAAGCATCTATCGAGTTATCGGTACATTATTACTATCGGTATATCAAATGGAAGATTCTGTTCTGAAACCAGAAATTAGTTTGGAGATTTTAACAATTTCTAAGTTACAGGATCGTACCACCTCTCATATCACTGTGTTTAAGGCATGAGGCAAAAGTTTTAGCGATATCTAGGTTACCAATTCTTAACACTTCTCATATTCATATAAGGCGTGGGGTGGGATGGGGGTGGAGGTTTTAGCAATATCTAGGTCACCAGATCTTACCTCCATAAATAGCGAATGAGTTATCATAGAAAAACCTTCTCTTCAACAGATCTTCCATTCTACTTCGATCAAATTTATCATCTTTGGCTTGGAAGGCTAATTCCTTTGTGAAAGGAGAAGATAATATTAGCTATAATGTACAAAGTGTGAATGTAATTGATCTAGAAATGTGGCAGAATATTTCTTGCACACTCAAAAATTTATGGAAGAGTATTAAATGCATGAGGACTCAAATTTGTGGATATATAGTCATTATTCTGTGCTAATATGCAAAGTACTACAATCATTGTACAAAATATGTGCATATAATCAGTATGAATTCTTAACAAAGATACAAATGGTGCCAAACTAGTTTGGTATCGATAAAATAATGGATTTAGGATTGGAACAAACATTGTGACAAATATTCCTGCTGGAACATTAAAAGAAATTACTTGTGTTGTCTTCCAGTATGCAGGCCTGCTCAATTCAAAGTTCATATGCATTTTACATAGATACTATTATGTGCATATGAATAGACGAATTTATAATACATGCATGATGTAAACATAAAGCACATTATAAATAAAACAAGTCATTGTCAATGACACGTCCCCGTTCCTTTAATATTTGAGTGACATATACATTCAAAGCAGATCATGAACGAAATGCACCTGCATATGTACAACACATTGTTCTAAATCTAAACAAAATCCATCCATGCATGACTGAGATCCGGTTCCGGAATTGTGAAAATACTTGATTTTGATGCATTTTCGGCCTTAAAATGGCCATCAATCAGCTATTGTTAAGCGGATCATGAAACAAATGCACATATCTATCTGTGACATGATGTACCATGTGTGTGTGAAGTTTGAACTTGATCAATCCAGACATGTCTCGGATACGGATCCAGAACTGAATTCTTTAAAACAAAATGGCCGCCAGTCGGCCATTTCGAACTAGATCTGGAAAAAAAATGACGTGCATCAAGGTCCTACTACCGTAAAAATCCGCAAATAAGCGCCACCCTCAATTAAGAGCCACTCAGTGAAAATTTGTTACATTTGACCCTCCATTAAGAGCCACCAAGGGTTGAGTGGTTTTGTCAATAAGAAACTAGGAATAAGTGCCAG